TAAATTCATTTAAGAAAAACAATCCTTTCTTTCTCACTTAATGTTTGCCACATTGCAATAATGATGTTATTATTTTAAGATATCTGTGGCTACATACCTTTGTAACCTGAATTTGCAGGGAACTCTGTTTTCCCTGGCTTTGATGATAATTACATACAGGTCCCTTCTCCATCAGGATAGATGCTGAGTGTCAGGCTTCATATATCTCCATTTAAAATAATAAACAGACAAGATGCTAATTCTAACCTCAATAGACATTCCTAGCATAGACAACACTGGAAGAAAACTAGCCACTGGGGATTTCATCCTCATCCTGCCAAAGAGTAATCTATTACAGCATATGGGAAATTAGCATCTGTTCAACTGTTACTCAACTATTTTACACCATTTTAAAATAGAGGCAGCCCACAGGGCATTAGGGGCCACAGAGGATCCTGGGTCTGGTCATGCAGGATTGTTGTACAGGATGTCTTATTTGTGCTAAAATGAGATAATGGATGGGAAGGTACTTTGAACATTTAAAAGCTCTGTAAGCATTAAGATATTATTATACAAATGTGAGTGGAACATTTATTTATTAAGAGTATGGGGATGGGGGAACATTTGAGAACTTCATCTCAGGCTAATGGGTGCAATTTAGAATTACAGGCTGGAAAAGCTGTGTTCTCAGCAGGAGAGGAAACCCATTGTTTAGATGTGTTTACAGTGTTATATTCAGAGGTTCAAAATGCTATTAGTACTGACGCCTGCGTCTGCTGTGTGCCAGCTGTGAGGCAAAGCACACGTCCAGGGGGTTGCCTTGCACGTACAATGGTTGTAGTGAGCAGCGGATGAACACGGGCAGGGATTTCATATGGCTCAGTTTTCATTTCCTTTCCTTCAACGCCAAAGGAATGAAGATTTGTAGAACTAATATCACATGTAAAATGCTTTCAAATAAAGAAGTCATCAATCCAGCCATACTTACTAAGTGATACTGTTAGGGCCAAGAAATATTAGACTTTCAACTGGAGTAACTTTCTACTTTCTAACTTTCTAAGGATTGAGGAGCAATTTAGACAAAGCCCTAATGGTGCCCAACACTTTGCCCCAGGCAAGCTCTGATTGGGGCTTCTTTCTGGCTATATATCCAAAGCAAGGGATGTGGTTTCTCAGATCCTTTGTCTTTAAAATGTGGACAATACCTGGCCCCCAGTTTGTGTGTATCAAGATCAAATAACCACCCCACACCTGGGGTGTTTATTTAGATGAGCGCATTCAAAACTCAAAGACTTCTACATTATGAATTTCCTTCATTAATACTAAGTCAAATTTTATGTAAAAGTCTGTATTTCTCTTACTATTTAGAAGTCTTTTTTTAAATTTTATGAAACTAGAAGCACTATTTCATTTTTCTATAAGTATTTTCTATAAAAGGAGGTTTCTATAAATGGCTGTAAGTTTCACACTAGGAAACTCATTTTCCTCTTTTCATAACTTTGAACATATGGCTAGACTTTATTAATTCCATTACTCTCCTTTATTACTCATTTTAAGAGAACTTGGACTTCTTCTAAATAACACTCAAGAAAATTTCTAAAGATTGTGAATTATCAAGATATAGTATTAATAGTACTATAGTAACAATATAATATTAGGAAATATGTTTATTCCTTCTGATATAGTCTGCATATTTTCATTTCCTATCTCATCTCCACAGACCTGCAGCTTAAAGGTAGATCTCCATGTGCTACAAGCACGTGAACAGTGTATGGCACATTCTGTGCTAACGTGAGATAACAGATGAAAATGTACTTTGAAAATTTAGAAGCTTTAAATGCATTAGGCATTATTATAGAAATGCAAGTGCAACATTTATTTATTAGGGGTGTGCAAACAGGGGAGCATTTCTGAACTTCTGAGCTAATGGGTGCAATTTAGAATCAGAGGCTAGAAAATCTACATTCTCAGCAGGATAGAAAAACCTATTGTTTAGAAGTGTTTACATCATTACATTCTGCAGTTTAAAAAATGGATTAGTATTGAACTCAATTCTGTTTTTCACATATTTATTTAAGACAATTTGATGCCACAATATTGCTTGTATTAGGATACAAGTAAACAATGGCTACAGTCTTTGCAAATCACCTGTTTCCAAGGCAGGAATTTTTAATATTGGTTCAACACTGAAATTAAGTAGTAAAGCACCACTCCGGTGTTACCTTTCAAAAGCTATTTGTTCACAAACAAACTGAATAGGTGGGATGGACATTAAATTTTTCTCAATTTAACTATAAGCCTTGGTTTTCCAAGTTCAGCAAAGCATTTCCAAACATTGGTTGAGCAGACCTTCGGAAGGCAAAACTGTGAGTGACTGCTGTCACCAGAAAGTAAGGTTTCTTGTTTACAGAGGGTTTTTCAAATTCTGGTGGAGGCGCAGATAAACCAGAAGTAGAAGGTTTTCTGAGAACTCGGATGGGTCCTGGTGATTATCCCTTAGCTGCATTTTCCTTTAGAGAGTAAGAACGCAAACCTTAAGATGCGCTTCTGTGTGTCCATGGGAAACAGACTGGTTAGGCAGGCACTGACCCAGCTATGGTGAGCGCCTAACCCCTTGGGAAAGAATCACAGGGACCGAGCTACTGAGCAGCTGGTTGAGAGGAAGCATCCCTAGCCACTTGCTTACACGAATTTTATTTGCTAATTCAAGTCTTTAGGAAGATTTGACTTTATTGGTTTAGCACATAACTTTGGGGAAGAATGTGGTCCAGAGAGAGTAGAGTTAGTTGTTAAAAAACAAACAGACTTCAGAAAATTTATGATAGTAAATGGCCAAAAACAGAAGAAGAAAAAAACAATCGAGCAGTTGAACAGTGGAAAAATCACATCAATAAAACCAATCAACAACAAAATTACCAAGTATTTCATAGTTTGACAGGTGAAAGCTCCGAAATGGCACTGATTTTAAGAGGTACATACGTGTTCACTTCTCCATGATTTTTGGCATTTCCAGACTAGAAAACACCCTTAAAACAAACAAATAAATAGCGGCAATTAACACAACCTGGAGTTGGGATCCAGAATCCCTTTTTCTTATTGATCAGATTCCTGTAGAGCTAGCTCTTCTTTCCTCTGCAGCAACAACGCCGTATCGAGCAGCAGGATTTTGGAAAGCTTCTGAGAAGCTCCTGGGTGCTGAGGAAGGCTTGTCCCCCTCATTCCTCCAGTCACTGTGCTCAGAGCCGGGAGGTCGATAAGCACATTCACACAGACCCTCTAGCTCACCACATCCCATCCACCTGCTCATTTAGCTTCTCTTTTTTGCTTTAGGGTTGTTGCCATTTGGCCTAAGTTTGTTCAATTTTCTCTAGGGTAGGACCATTCCCGAAAGGGGTGTGTCCTGATCAGAGTGACAGGAAATAGATCCAAAAGACATGACTATCCCTGCAAATCTCGGGAAGACAGTAAGGGGGCAACTGAGCTGGAGGGTTCATAGATTGGCAGGAGGGTAATCAATTTCCGCTTTGAAAAAACTGCACTATGTGGAGAAATTCTGTAAATTATACGAGCAGCTCAGGTAGGTGATTCAGTTCCTGAAGTTGGCACAGTGGATAATAGCTAGTGCTCATTAAACAGCAATCCTTCCTTACCCAGGGAAGAAAAGGGCTTAGCAAAGGCCCATGGTTCAAGGTGAAAACAAACCATGTCTCTGAAATGCTGTCATCAGAGGAATTTAACTACATATGTTAATCCACAAATACAAATAGCAGGAAATACATGAACAGCTTGGGGGAGAAAAAGCTTTCAGACTCTTTATTGAAAAGAACATCAATAAAAAACAGTAATAAGGATTAGAAGACAATACCAAACAAGAGAGAAGAGGGAAATTATTCTTTTTTTGTTGTCTCTCCTACATTTTCCATCTCCCTTCAATAAAAGATTCTCCATAATCCCAATATCGCCATTCCCTGCACAAAGAATCCTGAGAACAATTCAATATTGAGAGAACTGAAAGGAGACATAATATCCCATTCCCCCTCTCTCTCCAGGGCATTTGCAGGCCGAATAGCCATGCTTTCTAGAACATTCTGTTCACGTTTTTCTTTTGTGTGCTGCAGCATAGAATGTTTACCGGAGGCTTTTAAAGACAGAATCCCACAAACAGTTGAGAAAAATATTTAACAACCAAGGCAAAGCAATTATAGTCAAATTTTCACCTCGAGATTTTCATCTTAGGTGTGGGACGCAGAGAGAAGCCTCTTAACACATCATTCTGAACCTAGAATGAGGATGAAGAGTTGATCTTGCCAACGGTTGTCAACAAAACCACAGCTCTGCATCCATCACATCCTAGGGTGACACTGCAGAGCAGATGCCCATCTGAATGTGCTGGAAGAACAGCTCCACTGCTATGGCTCACATTTCTGAGCAGTGCTCTCTGGACACGCTAGACATGGACATTCATACCAAAAACATGGAAAGATCTAAACACGACAGATCTCTCTTTTCAAGTATTTGTGTCAGGCAGCTTTGTCATTTTCAGCTATTCAAGGCCACAATATGAGATGACACAAGTAGTCCCCATAGTGCAATTTTGCACAAATATGTCAACTTGGGAGGAAATTAACATGAGGTGGAGTTCATACTTCCCCCTGGCTGCTGCCTTGTCATCCAACCAACCTGTACCTTATAATCTAGTCTTCTATTAATCGTTTTCATTATGATTTGGTTCTTACATGGTAGTACGGGGTAACTTCTTTAACCACAGACTTTCTGAGTGCAGTGAGCAGACATAACTCAGCACAAAGGGATAACAAGGATCTGTGTATCTATGTTCCAATCCCAGAAAGGTCTGTTTTCGTCTAGTTCCAGTGAGTAGGGAATAAAAGCTGTGGCATAAAATGGTAAAACTCCAGTTAGCTTTGGATAAAAGGCATCCCTCGTTAGCGGCTGTTCAACACTAGAATGCATACTTGATATGGTGAAAGGCAAAAACATCACAGAGGCTTTCGATACCTTACCTGAGCCATCTGCCTCTCCAGTTTTGATCGGGGAATATCATCAAAGTAGTTTTCATTTCGTCTCCTCCTTGCATCGCCCTGCATGATAATGTGAGGAACGTCTAGGGAGCCACCAGTGGTGTAAGTGCTTTGGCTAAGTGATGGAGACAACTGAGGAGGAGTGTGATTACCACTGGGTTCCTGAATGGAAATACATCATGAAATAAATACCATGTTCTTGTGGCTAACCTTTGGTTTCAAAATTGTGAAATACTGACAAGACAAACTGCAGGGGTGGGGAGTCATTTTTGAATCAACTGTCAAGGCATGGATGACATCCCACCATTTTATGAATGGCCTGATCTAAGCCCCTTCTTTTCCTCCTAAGTATTTTAGGTCAAAGGCTTAACGTATAAAGAATGAGACTCAGTTCTTTCAAACCAGCACTCTGAATGACCTCAGGGGAGAGGCGGGGGGCTCTCCCGCTGCTACTGAGTTGAGTTTATAAGGGGAGAAACTGTGTCTTCATGCGGACAGGGTTCTCACCAGGGCTCACGCCATGATGAGAAAGCTAAAATAGGACCTGATGGGTCTTGATCCTCCATCAGACAGTGGTCTGGCGACCGGGCAAGGGAGAGGACACAGCACGAAACACAGCATGTCACACGCACAGACTGAGAGCAATGCATATAATGACAGAGGATGCGTTTTGACGGCAAAGACAACTCAAGCTGAGGGAAACTGGTCCAAAGTAAGTTTAGGGGTGCAGAGAGCTGGGCTCCAGTGTTTGCATGTCTGAGGGGGACTGCATCATGCTGATTCTCCAGGCCACCTCTCTCCCCAGTGTTCTGGAGCTCCTTGGACAGATTAAAGTTCTGCACCTTTTCTTGGGTATCTATGTCTTTGACCTAAATCTCTTCCAGGGAGCCAGAGGGAGAAGTTCAGAAAGGGATGGAAACAGAGTAAATAGAGGGGAACTACTCCTCTAAAATGTCATCTTAGGATAGCTACTCTGATGGGGCTCCCCATCATGTAGCAAAATGGAGACAAGATAATCATCCTTGTCTAACCTTATCCCCCACCCTAATTTTCTTTTGAGGTTCCTCTTATTGAGGGAGAAAAATCAATCCGATTTCTACTTTCCACTAGCCTTCAAATAACCCAGTGCATCCCAGTTCCTCCAATAAATCAATTTTCCCCACGGCTCCCTTCTGAAGCCAATTGTCTGGCATTGTGTATTTTCTTCTCTTTTAAAACTGAATCAGACTCAAAATCTTAACTGTTCCTCCTCTGCCTGCTCTACCTGACCCTTTGCTATCCTGACCGTAGTTATGCTATTTGCTGAAGTTCACAGATTAGAGCCAAACTTTCACTGTGTTTTGTGGCTATTGGTTCTATCAAAGTGCCGGGCTGGGCTCATTTATTATCGCCACCTTTCCTGACACTCGCAGAACGGGAATCAAGAGCAAGCAAGTGCAGGACTAATAAAGAGAATGGACTTGGAACTCTCCAACTGGTGATGGAGATCCCAGCTTTTTGATGGATGTTAGACAAATATTAGAAAACTAGTGATGTCCACTACTCCACCTTGCTTCCGTTTTGTCTGACAACTGCTTCTCACTTTCTCTCCTCTTGCCTTCTGGCCTTCCTTCTCTTTACATTGTACTTTTCTCTCCCTTCTATGGTTTCTCTCTAGTTTTCTACCCCACGGTTCTAAAATAGAGCTGAAATGGTTTATTAAAGAAAGTTCCAGGTCCTCTATTCTTAACTTTTGAAGTGGGTAAAGTTGCACAATTTTTACTGCTTAAAAACCAAAAGACCCTAAGGTTAATTTTAAATTGATCTTTACTTAACTGTGGTCCTTGATTGATTTTCTTTCTGTGGGTTTGAGGAGTTTGACAGAAAACTCATTTCCTCTCTTGGTGTAGTTGGGAGTGTGATGGGCATAGCGGGAGAGGTTTGTCGGATGTATATCTACATCTCAAAAATATATACTTAACCAATGGAGAAAATTCAATCTTGGCTTATAAAACACAATCAAAAGTGAGTTGTTTTTATACAGATAAGGGAAGCCATCTGGAAAACAGCCTGCATTCCCTGATCCATTGCTTCAGTTACTTCATTTTTGTGTACAAAATAATTTTTCAGGGTAAGAGCAGAGAACAAAATAAAATGCTGGGCACTTACCCTGAGGGTGATGGATCGAGGGGGCTTCTGTGGTGGATCCTCGTGCAGTCTGTCTCCCAGAGATGCCAAAATGCGTTTCCTGTGGCCAATCAAATTGATTTTTAAAACCTGAAATTGAAATGACAAATATTTAAGGCTTAAATTTCAGTTGAGAAAAATAATCTCTAGAGGTCTTAAATGATGAAGGAGATAAAAGACGTTTGCACAAAGTCACCTCTACACCGTGAGAGATGTGCTGTGAAATCAGTTTGACTGCTCAGGTCCAGAAAGAGGAACAGCTTCTAGAACATTTGTGTGGTCAAGCCGTGGGGAAGGCAGAGCAGCCGGGGCACAAGCCCCTCTAACTCACACTGCCTTAGAGTCCCATTCTTGCCTTGGCAGTAACAAGATCTTTCTAAACTCTAAGTCAAGTCTTATCCCTAAAGCTGAAAGTGCTCCAATAGCTTTCCATAGCGCTTAAAATAAAATCTGAGTCTGGGCCTGGCCTGAAGTCCTGCAAGGCTGGTGGTCCTGACTCCCTGGCCCTTCCTGCACCTTCTGTTCTTTTTTCCTCTCTCTCCAGGCCCCTCTCTTTTCCTCGGTTCAGGGTGCTCCATCACACTGGCCTCTGTTCTGTGAACACTCCCTACCATTCTCACCTGGGGGCTTCTGCTCCCGCGCACCCATCCATCTGGAACATTTCCCACCCCCGTCACTAAAAGAATCATTTCCTCAGCTCCTGTGATGTCTTTACCCTGTGACCCATGTTTTATCCTCTGAAATAACTTGACTCACAGGTTTAGCTTTTGGGTATGCTTCTCCCTCAGGGAGCTTCCTGAGGGCGGGGTCTTGCTATGTCTCATCACCCTGAGTCCCCAAAGGCCCAAGGCAGTGCTTACAAGGACAGGTGCTCAATGAATAGGCAAGAATGAATGTTAATGTAGAGGCAAGCAGCACAGTAGGCTTAACCCAGCACTGCCTGCTTGGGGGAGACTTTGAGTCTCCTCAGGAGGGGATTTTTGAGTCCGACAGTGTGACACAGGGCACGTGGTAGAAAAGACTGGCTCAGAGCCTCAGTCCCCACCTGCTCAGCCTTTCCAGCCCCCTCCGCAGCCCCATCTGGAAGGCTCTTGGATTTCAATCAGATTTGCTTGATTCCAAAGTTTTACTCCAAGGTAAACTATAAATTGGGGCATATCTCCAAATATTACTGACTTCTAACAACAACGTACTATAAATCCAGGTATTTACCTCTTCCTTGCCCAAGTGTCGTTACAGGCTAGAAAACTAGTTCCCAAAAAGTGCTACCTGTTGTGTAAATGACAACATTCCCCCTCACCCCCCCTTTTTCAATTTTAAGGGCGAGAGGCAGGATACTCATCGACACTCATCAGGGCGAACTTTGGATTTTTATTTGCCTCTTAAGGCTGTTTTACCTAAATGGATTTAGATTTTAAACTGGCATTTGTTCTGTTCCTTTTATGTCTAATCTCCGTTCCTGGCCTGCTGATGATGGGGATGATGTGTTAATCAAGGTGAATGTCCACATGCAGCACCCCCCTATGATTTTATGACCTTCATCTTCCCAGGCTGATGACTCCTAATCCTTACAGTTTGTTTTCATAAAGTTCTCTTTTTTCAATTTAATTTTCATTTTTATAGGTATTTATTACATCATCCTTCATTTTGGTACAATGTATGATTTCCCCATGGAATTCCCACCACCCACTCACCCGTGCACCATCACCATAGTCCCTTGTGCTCTTCCCACCCCTGTTTTGATCCTACTCCCTTCTAGCCCTGCAGAATGTCTCTGGTTTACAGTTGCCTGTTGATTTTGATTTTTACTTTATTATCGTTATTTTTTTCCCTGATCCCTAATTTGGTTCCTCTACATTCCTCCTATAAGTGAAACCATTCCATATTTTTCTTTTTCTTTCTGGCTTATTTCGCTGAGCATAATCCCTTCCAGCTCCATCCACGTTGCTGTGAATGGCATGAGTTTATCCTTTTTGATAAAGCAGGTTCTCTTTAACATAGACTGCTTCGGCTGACTTCCTCTCTGCCTTCTCCTATGCTATTATAACTGCTTAAGGTCTGCTGAACAAGAGCTCTCGATAGTCCAGGTTTAAGAGACCGATGGCTTTACATCAGAGTGGGGTACTGTTTTCTGCATTTAGTGGCACCTATAAACGACCTTTTTAAACCTTCCTGATTTCCTGTTGGCCTTTTAGCTGTAGTAGGAATAACCAGGGACAAAAATGTATGCTGACTGTAAAAGAGCTTTTAATTTGGCTATAGCTGATAGTTCAACATCCTTTTGGAAGAATGGTTTCAATGATTTTTTTTTCTTAAATTCCTTATCTTACAGTTGTCCATGAAGCCACCCATCTGCCACCCTTCTGCCCACTCACACAGCCTTGTCATTCTGCATTTATATCAGCTAGCTTGGCACTTCACTACCTGAGGAGCTTGGCTGTTTTAGCAAGTGTGGAATTTCACCATAAATTCCTTCTTTAGGATGATTTATAAATATGCTAACTAAGTGTGGTCCTGTGCTGATGATTTGCATGCAACACTGTTTATAAGATCCAGAGAAATGCCCTTATTCTTGCATTATCTCTCTTTAAAGCATCAAGATCAAAGAATTCCTCCATTTCAGAAAAATACAACATTAACCTTTTCAAGTGCATTTTGCAAGTCTAAAATCACTACATTTACTTATTCCTTTTTATTCTTATTCTCAATTACTTTGCCAAAGGCATCTCCTGGATAAAAATACCTACCAAAATTTCCCCACTGCCTTGCTCCCAGTGGGTAATTACTGGTCTTGAAATACTGATGGTGCTACCTTGGGCCCCTGTAAAGTAGTACATTTATTTATAGGAATAAAGATATTCAAAATTATTTTGACAAATGCCTGACACTAATTTACAAATAACTGGTAAAGCGAGCTGCTGTGACCTCCTTTACTGCTCTTGGTTTACTCTCCTACAACTCAATTTTGGACCAATACCTGACTTCTTTCATCTCAGTTTTCTTGCTTATAAAATGAGGACGTGAAGGCCAATCTCAAGTGTTGTTGGGAAGAGGAAGAGAGAAATTGTGAGAGTAACACAGTGTCTCGCACAAAGAAGATGCAACTGTCACTGTGTGCTTGTTCCAGCTAGTGCATTCAAAGGATGCATGGGAGTCCTGACCCAAGACACAGGAATGTGGTTGTTTTCATAAAGTTAATCATATCAAACAACTATGTGGGCTCTTCGCATGAAGAGATCTGGGTAACATTGGAAAGACCCTCATTGAAGTCACATGTACTGGTAGGACTGATTCTGGCCTCTAATACTAGTTTAATCCAAAAGAGTGCATATTTTTATCTCATGCACCTCTTATCTCTAAGAAGTAAACTGAGGCAGTCGTCTACAGTGGAATTTCACTAATGCCATCTCTATAGAACTACTTACAGAAGAGGACTAATGGGTTCATGGACAGGTGGACAGAGAGATGGAAAGAGAAAATTAACAGAGTAATGATTCATGTTAAGAACACTTGGTAACTTTATTAGATGTGATCCCATATCACAGAAGATATTGATGACGACTACCATTTATTGAACATTTGCTATGTTCTAGTTTTACAAGCCAGAGGTGCTAGAAACTGCTCAGTGCACTATCTACATGCATAACTATCTCATTTATTCCTTAAAATTACACTATCCTTCCAGTTTTGCAGATGCAAAACCTGAGACTCAGACATTCTGGTCACATTGCTAGCAGGTAACATGGCTTTGATTTGCATCTGATTCTTAACCTGCTCTTTACCCTTATCCTGCTCTTCTTGCTGTTAACCTCAATACCTTTTGGCCTTAGCAACACTATTGGTTATATTGTTATGATGCTCCTTAAGATGGTGCTTTTTCTTTTGATTTATCATGTTCAAAGCATTTGTATTGAGTCTTGAATCTGAAAACACTAAATACAGCTTCAGTTTTGGACAAAGTTCATAGTAGGTTAAAACTACAAGCCAATAGAGCTCAGGCAGGTATATTACAGCATTTTCTGTGACATGCATATATAGACAAAAACCCGGATGCTCTCAGCTATCCCAGATTCAGTCTGAGTGGGTTAACAGTAGAGCAGTAAGGAGAGTAATATTTGACTTTCCAACTCTCAAGTTCACAATAAGAAATACAATTAAGATAACAACAGAGAGAAAATTCCAAAGAAAGTTAGTCATTATGGAAAAGTCAAGTTGAAAAGGTAACTAACAGGATTTGACTGAAGTGAGAACAGCTTAACATTTGATCATTGTAAGCAGGAGGTATTCCCTTTCCCCACCCCAAGAAGCCTAGCTGAAGACCAGTTAGGAAACCTTTAGTTTTCAAATATCCATATCATTGGTTATGATTGCTGAGAATTCTGCGTGGTGTTCACTCCTGCTTGGGTGTAAGTTAACTACAGGTAAGAGGAACCCAATGGGAGTGTAGGTAATGGCACCATATTGGGGATTTGGCTATTCTAAGGTGTTGACAAAATTCAGTTCAACTGAAAAAGCAATATTGAGTTTCTGTCACAAATTCTCTGGTGGCTTCAGAGGGGGAACTCAGAGAGATTGGGCACCAGTGACTACATTGTCAAACCATTAGCAGGAGAAAAAATTACTATATACATGAGCATAAGAATGGGGATCCGACTGTTGAATTCCAATAGATAAGAAATAAAAGTTATTGCATGTTTTCTTAATGGCTTTTTTATTACAACTATCATGAAACATGTGGGCCAAAGGCAAGGATTATTGTTGCAACACCACAGGCCTGCAGGATATTAGCATCCATTCATCAGAATTGTAGCTGCTTCTAGGAATCTTCTCCAATATCAATTAACAGGACAACTTCAGAAACCCCATTGCAAATCCTGGCAATAGGAGAATAATTGTGCCGGGCGACAATGTTGTAATATTATCACTGTCACTTATGTTTCTGGATTTGCTGTGGGAATTCTGCTAGATACTATCATTACCCTGGCGCTGAATAGTTTACATCAGCAACAAAGATAGTCAGTATGTCCTTTTTTCCTTTAAATTTAATGTGATATAAATTAAACATGTTAAGGTCAAAGTGATGTAAATTA